AAGAGGACACGACTAGAAATCAGTGGTTAAGTTGTATTTACAACTATTCAGATGTGTGCAGCACATTTTATGGAGAACTGTTTACTGATCCTGTGAGAGTAGACTACAATGCCGGCTGTTCTGACTCACAGACTGTAAGTACATTTTTTATATTTAAAGGATTTGCCACTGATGATTCAAACACGAGTTTTGAGCAGTGTAGAGTAGTGCTTGTTGTTTGTCATTTCTCCAATCACAAATGCACGCGGCGCGATGCAACGTGTAAAAAGACAGTATAAGTCATTATAATCCGTAATTATGTCCCCACTGGATGCCACGAATGCCTCATTTATAATGGGTTTTAATGTTTTTGTCTCGTCGCTCCGGCCGGACACGGCATCACAGTATGGTGAGGGGCGTAACATTTCCGTCACACACTTGAGGTATTCGGCCAATAACAAAGCACTGGATAGCTGGCCAATCAGAGCACACCTCGCTTTTCAGACCGATGAGCTTTGTAAAAATCGACGAGTTTCAGAAAGGTGGGGCATAGAGGAGAAACAATAATGTACAGTATGTGGAAAATAATGTGTTTTTTGAACACATTTCATTACACCAAATACACAAAATAATGTTCTTTTTAGCAACATCGTATGACCCATTTAAATTTTAACCCAAAAGTTGGGTTAGTCCATATTTGACCCAAAGTTGGGTTGAAACAACCCAGCATTTTTAGAGTGCATGAACATGTGTTATACTGCGTTGCTATTGACAACGGTTGTTATCGTGAAATAGCATACCTCGGAATGTTGCTACTGACCAATCAGAATCGAGTATTCCAGGGAACCATGTAATAGAAACATTTAACAAATATCACTGACCTCAAACTTTGGAATGGTAGTGTACTTTTTTTCTCATCTAGATATTGCTCTGTGGTCTAAAACTTGGTTGCAATCCATAGTGATATTTGATGTCTGAATTGTTCTATTGATTGGGTTTTGAGTGATTTGTGAAAAGTTTTATTTAATAATCACAAATGGCTGGAAAAATCTTGGTAAAGTCATGGATATTAATTGGATAAAAAAATTTGAATTCTTAATCGAAGAATTCCCAATTCGTTTAAAAGTTTAGAGTTTGCATATGAGACCTCGCACTGGTTCTGATCGCTCTCTATAGGCCTGAACTTCTGGAGTCTGTTTGTCTTCTTTGAGGGTTTTATTACATAACCTCCCCCTTCCCCCAAGCTTTGGCTTCAGCTAAACATGTTGGTGGTCCCTATCAGCACTTCCCTCATGGATCCAAATTTGTAACGGAGGGCTCAAGTGTTGTTGTAAGTCTTACTGTGGGTCCCGCCTGAGGTGCGGCTCAGTCTAATCAGCCTCTGTCTCTCTGGATTCTGGAAACGCTATAACAGTTAAAGAGTCAGCATTGCCCAAAGATGTGCGTTCTTGCTCCACACGGAGGATGGAAATGTCGTGGTTATTATTTAAACCGATGACTGTAGTCGATATTTAGTGACTGCCAGTAGGGATTTACTTCTTGCCATACTTTTGTGTGGTTTTTTTTTCTGTGAATGATTTTGTTCTCGCTGTCAGATATTAGAACAGGCCTTTGACAGTATAGCTGTGACATGCTGGTCGAGGTAGTGTTGGTCATCCAATGGGAGGATGAATATATGCATAGTATTATTGGCTGTGTGGGCATGAAAAGTGTCTTTAGTGTCATGCATTGTTTCCTTTCCTTACTCTGGGAACATAATCTGTGTACTTTAATGTGCATGACTGACCAAAATATACTCTATAACTGAAGCTCTCTGTGGAGTTTTTTCTCGCATGTTAAGTATCTCGTACAGACGACTAAATGCACAGAGTAGATAAATGCGACTGAGTGTTTTGATTGAGATTTATTGCTGTAATTGTATGTGAGTTTGTTTATTCTGGACTGAAGTCAGACGGAGGAATCTTGGCTGACCCTTCCTGTTTTGTGGATAAACAATGGGAAGAAGCAATGCTCATCTGATTGCATTATCAGATTACCCAGCATGCCGTGGACTGGACATTTGGTGGTTATGTAACAGCACATCTGAATTTCTCAGGCTATTTGTGCGATTTGAACGTCCATGGAAAACCACATGTAAAAATAGCCTTTGAAGATTATGTTTTAGGAATTCATGCTGCCATCCATCAAGATCAGTAAGATATGTTTTACTGGAAGTTTAGGATGACATCATATGGGCAACTTAAAAAAAACAAACATTGCTGTAGTAACAATATAATGAGGAAACATTATGATTATTGAATTAAATCTCTGAAAGTTTTATCAACCGTAGATTCAAATGCATTTTTATTCAAACATTCTTAATTAGATTAACTATAAGAGGAAAGAGTCATGAAGCTACTGTGTGTGTGTGTGTGTGTGTGTGTGTGTGTGTGTGTGTGTGTTGTAGTTGTAATTAAAAAAAAATTGTTGGAGTACATTTTAGAAAATAAATATTTTAATATTTCAGTTCTTCTACTTTAAAATTTTTTTTTTTTAATTCAGTGTGTTATTTACCATTTATTGGAATTGTTTTGCGAAATTTACTAGCAGTTTTCTATACCAAATATGTTTTAGCGTATAAAGAACCAGACATCCAGACATCATCACTAGGTTTGTGCAAAATGTGCTAGGGTTTGAAAGTGGTTGCCATGGTGTTGATACATGTATATGGTTGCTTGGGCTGGGTTGATCGATTAGGCCTAATAATTTTTAAACAGTCTTCATTTTGATGAACCAACATTGATTCTGTCTTTTAGTCTATGTGTGAACAAAACTTTAGTAAACATTATTTGCAGCGCACCTGCAATCTGTAAGGTCTGTTTTGGGTTTTGTTTCTGGTTTAGGTTTTCATGTCTTTTATTTTGATATGTTGCCTTGTTTCATGTTCCTGTCATGTGTTTTTCCTCATTGGCTGGTTCTTGTCATGTGACCCTGATTGTTCGCTATAAGTAGTCATCATGTTGCCTTTGTGCTTTGTCATGTATTGAATGTATTTATCCTGCTGTCGGTGAGTCTAGTCTGTTCATGTTAAGTCAAGTCTAGTCTAGTCTGTTCAAGTCAAGTCTTCGTTTGTTTGGATTATCTTTGTATTACTTTGTTTAAATAAATCTGCACTTGGATTCATCACTACGCTGGCCTACAGTGGACTATCATTACAACATCCAATAATAGCAATAAGCTTTGTGCTTTGATATGTTTAATATGAAACAAAGTCTGAGCTTTCAAATTCTATCAATATA